GGGCCCGGGGGCCCCCGCGCCCGGGGCCTGCCACGCCCTGGCCTCAGCCCACGGGGTAAGTCGATGGGCAGTTCCGGGGACGGCCGAGGGGGTCGGCCCCAAACCTGCCAGTGTGCGATCTCGATCCAGGCGCGGAAGGCCTAGGGGGCTCCTCGCTTCCCCAGCCCTGAGCCTGGCCTGCGTGGGGCTCCCGCTCCCTCTACCTGGACTCCAGACTCGTTCCTCTGCTGCCAGGGTGCGTGGCTGGGGTTGGAGGGGTCCCAGGAGGCGGGGGTAGGGGCTGGACAGACACCCAACAACCATTGCTGTTGGGACTTGGGAGTGGAGGGCTCAGGCCACCATGGAGGCAGAAGGGGCTAGGACATAGCCTGGATAGAGGTATTTGGGGGAAGGGTGCCCCTGCCCCAGTTTGGGCAGAAAGGTGGGGGGTCATAACTGCAAGTTAAGTCTGGTCTTGGCCTCCCCTGTCTCCACCAAGGGCCCCGGACCTGTGGGAGCCTGAAGCTGGATGGGAGTGGCCCAGGCCCTGCACCCTGCCCCAGCCTACCCTCTCCACTTCCCACGGAGGGTCTGTTCTCTCTGCCCCTCCTCCCTCCCCGCTGGCTCTCAGGTTTTCTCTGTCTTTCCCTCTTTCTGCTTCTGCCCACTGGGGGTTTAGGTCCCCCACGCGGGCGGACCCCACCCCGGCCATGTGATGGGGTTGTGGTTTCAGTTTTCCTGTGAGGGTGAGACTGTGCTGTCAGCTGAGCTCCCTAAGCCCAGCTGGGGGTCCGGGTACATAGTGGGGGACCTCTCACCCTGCTCTGAAAGCCCTGGAGACCCGCAGGCACAGAGCGGGGGCATTCGATGCCCTCAGAGATGAGTCACACTGAAAACCGAAGGGCTCTGCAAGATGGTGACAACCGAAGCGGGACTCATGGTAGAGGAAGGTGGTTTAGACCCAGCTCTGCCAATGACTGTGCCCTAGGGAATGTCATTTCCTCTTTCTGAGTCCTCTAATCCCCAGTGGCTTTTCTCAGTTCCCCCCCAGGGCGTCCCCTCCCTTGGCCAGCGGCTGAGTGGCCAGCCCCATCCCAGTGATGACATGTCTCCCTGTCCAGGTACTGGCCGCTGGGCAAGACATTGTGCCAATGGCAGGGCTGCAGCCTGTCAGATATCAGGAAGTGGTACGGGGAAGGCTGGGGACAGTCGTGGTTCCTCCTGGATGACCGTGTCAGAGAAGCGGCCCTGCTGAGTCCCCGTCCCACCCCCGTTCCAGGATGTGGGGCCACTTTCACCCCACAGGTCTCCCTCCCTCTCGGCCCTGGGCCCTCGCCCTTGGGCTATCACTTCCCTTCCTGTTGGGCTCAGCCCCAAGGGTTCTAAACCTCTCCTTAGCAGGCCCCAGGAAGGAGGGACCCTGACGGCTCACCCTCCGCAGAGGGGACTGCTGGGCCCAGCAGCCTCCTCCTCCCAGAATGAGCTCGCCCTCCAGCCCTGCGCCATTCCGGCTGGAGACTTCTGACGGAGGCCCGGAGGATGGCTCTGAAGCTGATAGAAGGAAGCTGGGCTATGGGGACGGGCCGCCCCCCATGGAGTCCCCATTCCAGGGCGAGGACCGAAACTTCTCGCCTCAGATTAAAGTGAACCTCAACTACCGGAAAGGAGCAGGTGCCAGGTGAGCCAGCAGATGGGGGTGGGGTGGGGGCCCAGCACTGGCGCCCGTTCTCCACGGCCTGTGGGTCAGGCTCTGAGGCCCCTGAGCCCTTGTTAGCTCTCTGAAACCTTCAGAGTCTTCTCCATTCTTCTGCCCCCAGGCTGTGTTCTTTGCAGGGACACATTCTTTTAGCTTCAAGTACACAACTCACCCCCCAAATCCCCTTAGTTCGCACCCTCCCACTCCTGTCGTGGCCCCTGTGGAATATGGCAGTGGGAGTTGCACCATCTATGGAGGGTCAAAGACGTTTGAAATGTCCCGGGCACTCCTGGCTCTACCCTAAAGCTGGATTTGTGATTTTCCTGTGGTCTCTGCCAGCTCACAGTGTCAGTCCTCCTTCTTTTCCTGCTGGGGGCAGCACCTGGCCTCCCTCTAGGATAAGGTCCGCCCTGTGAGGCTGGAGAGCCTTTGGGTCAGGCAAGACTGCCAAGGAGGCCCCGTCCTCCTGCCTCATGCTTGAGGTGTCACACTGACCTTGGCTGCCAGCTGGGTGTGCCGAGGACCAGCTCCGTTAGTGCCATGCGGGCGGGATTGCGAGGGAGCTCCTGGAAGCTGGGCGCCTGCCTGACAAGACGGCGGTCCCGCAGCACCTGTGATGTGCCCTCACTGGGCCTCCCTACCCCAGGACTGTGGTACCACGCTGGTGGCAGGAAGCACCTTGTCCAAATGGCGGCTTCCCCAGCCAGCTTGCCCGCAGGGCTCCCGAGTCAGCCGCACAACCCTCTGGTTATGTTGTGGCCCTGTGGGTGGAGGATGGCACGCAAGGCGGGGCAGACATGTAGTTTCCTGGTGTGGAGGAGGCAGGGGCTGGCCTTGATCGTGGTCACGGCCATGTGACTTCAGATGTGACTGGTCCTAACAGTTGCCCCGGGCACAAGACAGTCACCAGTCCTCACTCAGTTGGCTCGTTACACTGGAGTCTTTTTTCTTCTTCTTCTTTTAAAGAATTATTTTATTTAACTTTATTTAACTTTATTTATTTATTTATTTATTTATTTATTTATTTTAATTTGACCAGAGATGGACAGAGTGAGAGAGAGAGGGAAAATGAGAAAGCAAGCTGCCAGGTCTGGGACTCAAACCATGGTCGGTCACCTGGGACATTACACTGGAGTCTTATAGCCGGGAGGGTCTGTGGGTCTCCAGAACATCGAAGAGCCCCCATTTTGTTTTTCCATTTGTATCTGCTGGTCATGGTGCTGGATCCCCAGAGGTGAGTTGGCCTCATGAATGATGATACACAGCCCAGGAGGGAGGGCCCCACACCCTCCCTTTCCCTGTTACCAGACACTGCTAGATTCTGATGAGCTCCAAGGCTTCTTCCGGGTCTGTGGGCGAGATTTCCCAGAAGGGTGGCTTCTCAGTAAAACTCTGGTTAGTGTCTGATAAGTTTCAGCACCAGGGGGACCAGCAGTTGGCGTAATGGCTCCGTCACTGGACTCCCAGGTAGTTGACCACAGTTTGGGTCCCGGACCTGGTGGCTTAAATTCAAGCCAGGCGCATGTGCATGCGTGCCCAAGATCCAGAGAGGAGAATGGAGGAGAGGGGATTGTGGTGTGGCCATCCCCCCTGGGGAGTGATTTCTACTTTCTGTCTCTCTGTCTCTCTCTGTCTTTCTGGCGAGCGCACGCGCCCCATAGCAAAAACGTCTCCAAAAAAAAAGAAAAGTTTCAGCACCAGGACTGTTTCTGGGAAACCACTTTATTTATTTATTTATTTAGTATTTGCTAGAGGGTGCATGCACTTTCCAGGGGGGCAGGGGGGGAGAGAAAGTGAAGAACCATCCTGGGGAGGAGAGGATGACCATGCTGCAATCTCTCCTCCATTCTCCTCTTGGGATTTGGGGGCATGCATGCATATGTGCCCACATAAGTTTTTCAAACCACTGGGTCTGGGATTCAAACTGTGCGGTTGGCCATGTGGGATCCAGTTGCCTTAACCACCATGCCACTGGCTGGCCCAGTCTCTGGAAATCTCTTGTTGTCCAGCCCTGACTCTCTCTAGGGGTTCAGAGTTTGGGTTAGAGTTAGACAGACCCCGTGAGAGTCCCAGTTCTGCCGTGTGACTTCAGGCAGGCTTTTACCTGCTCGTCTGTCTAATGCAGGAGAGAGTGGTTGCTGACCTGTAGGGCAGAATACTCCGTTATGGGTCAGCAGGTGGTTTCTGAGAGTGGGCAGAAGCTTTCCTCCTCCATTCCTTCTCCTCCTCCTCCGAGACCGGAGGTGCGTGCAGCCAGGCTCAGCTGTAGCGCCGGCCAGACCCAGCCGCGAGCTCTACAGCCAGCACCAGTGGTGTGTGCTGACACTGACCCTGTGGGTTAACACGTCTGCTGGGAGATGATGCATCGCAGTGTCCGGATACCAAAAACTCTCGGTGACGAATGGTCGTGGGGATGAAGATTCATGCCCAGGGACCAGCAGTTGGCGTAATGGCTATGTCACTGGACTCCCATGTAGTCGACTGAGGTTCGCGTCCTGGACCTGGTGGCTTAAAACTCACACCGGGCATGTGTGCGTGTGTGCCCAAGATCCCAAGAGGAGAATGGAGGAGAAGGGATTGCGGCGTGGCCATCCCCCTGGGGGGTGATTTCTTGCTTTCTGTCTCTCTGTCTGGCGAGCGCACATGCCCTATAGCAAAAAACCTCTCAAAAAAAAAAAAAAAAGATTCATGTCCAGTTGGCCCCCTCCTCCTGGGGCTCTGAGCATGTGGGTCTCCTTGGCCTCCCCTGAGACAGAGGCCCTTGGGAGGACTCTCTAGGTCTGAGGAGTGTGCAGTACCTACAAGACTCCTCAAAAGGACTCTCTAGGATGGGGGCTTTGGGGAGCCCCTGGACCTGTTGCAGCATGAGTCACACACCACATCCCCCACAGCCAACCTGACCCGAACCGCTTCGACCGTGATCGGCTGTTCAGCGTGGTCTCCCGGGGTGTCCCTGAGGACCTGGCTGGACTACCAGAGTACCTGCAACGGACCAGCAAGTACCTCACCGACTCGGAGTACACAGGTAGACCCTGCCCCGTGGGGCCGGGCTATGGCGTCCTGCAGGCTGAGGACTGGACACGGGGGGATCTGGGCTACAGACAGGAGCTGAGGGGCACGTGTCCATAGCAGCTCTGGGAATGGCTGTGGGGGCCCTGCGGACAGCACCTATGGCCTTGACTGTGTCTCCCATGTCCATTCATCCCACGGGGCCTCCCTTCCCTCCTCCAAACAGCTTTCCGAATGGTCTTGTATAGACAGCATTACACGTTTGATGAATTATGTCTTAGAAACTCAGTTTCCAGGACAGAAATGGCAGCCATACCCATTGGTATTTTAATTCCTGTTGCCTGGAGCTGTAATACTCAGCAACATGGCTGTGCTCCCACGGGTCGTGTGTAGCGATCTTTCTCTATACTCCCAAGGGGTGCTTTGGAGCCCGGGCTTTCTGTGCAAGCTGCAAGTTGGCAAGCAGCCCGGCTGCACCAGGCCTGAGTACTGCGGTGCCCTGTCCCCGGCCCTTTTCCCACAGAGGGCTCCACGGGGAAGACGTGCCTGATGAAGGCTGTGCTGAACCTTCAGGATGGGGTCAACCCCTGCATCCTGCCGCTGCTGCAGATCGACCGGGACTCCGGCAACCCCCAGCCCCTGGTCAACGCCCAGTGCACGGATGAGTACTACCGAGGCCACAGTGCCCTGCACATCGCCATCGAGAAGAGGAGCTTACCATGCGTGAAGCTCCTGGTAGAAAACGGAGCCAATGTGCATGCCAGGGCCTGTGGCCACTTCTTCCAGAAGAGCCAAGGGACTTGCTTCTATTTTGGTGAGTGAGCCTTTTTGGGTAAATTGAGGCAGAGTGTGAGACCTTGTCAAAGATCATGTGATTAGTGTGTGTGGCAGAGCTGACACTTAAGCCAGTGTATGGCTGACCCCAACACCCTGCATCTAGACACTCAGCTGCCTGCAGAACCAATTTGTCTTAACAGATTTTTAAGTATATATATTTATTTAATTTGATTATTATTTAATTTTATTTATTAATTTATTTTAGAAGCTTTGGCCTTAGGGAGCGTGCACTTGCCAGAGAGAGAGATACAGAGACAGTGAATGGGAAAGTGAAAAATCACCCACCCGGGGAGATGGTCACATTACAATCCCTTCTCCTCCATTCTCCCAGGATCTTGGACATGCATGCATATGTGACCAGTTTGATTTTGAAGCTACCAGGTGTGGGATTCAAACAGCAGTTGGTCATATGGGAGTCCAGAAACATAACTGCTATGCCATCTGCTGGTCCCTATTGTTATTTTAAATTTTGCTTTAAGGTACATGTATTCGCCAGAGAGAGACAGAGACAGAGAGAGAGAGAGGGACATGAGAAAAACGAACCTCCAGGTCCAGGACTCGAACCGTGGGCAACCCTGTGGGAGTCCAGCACCTTAACCATCATGCCACTTGCTGGCCCTGAAGAAATGTTTTATCCTTGTTTGGGACAGAGGCTCAGCAGCTCAGCAAGCATTGCGCCCAGATGTGGGCAGAGGAGTGGGTACTAGAATTGGCATGTGTTGAGACTTGATCAAGTCGGTGTGGCGCATCAGAGCACTGACAAAGAGGAGAAAGGCAGGGAGATGAGGATCTTGGCTGGTGGCCCCGGTTCTGGTCCCTTAGATGATAAAGAAGCCTGACCTGCTTGCAGGAGGCCGGGCCTTCTGTCCAAGGAGCATGAGGAATAGGCAGGTGGGAGGCCCAAGGACCAAGCTGCCCCCTTGGCCCACAGGCGAGCTACCTCTCTCTCTGGCCGCGTGCACCAAGCAGTGGGATATAGTGACCTACCTCCTGGAGAACCCACACCAGCCAGCCAACCTGCAGGCCGCGGACTCTCTGGGCAACACGGCTCTGCATGCCCTGGTGATGATTGCGGACAACTCCCCCGAGAACAGCGCGATGGTGATCGGCATGTATGACAGCCTCCTCCAAGCAGGGGCCCGCCTCTGCCCCGCCGTGCAGCTGGAAGACATCCCCAACCTGCAGGGCCTCACACCCCTGAAGCTGGCTGCCAAGGAGGGCAAAACGGAGGTGAGCTGCAGTCCCTGTGCCCTCCCCGACCCCTCCTGGAAGAAGCAGGACTCACTCAAAATGTACTTTTTCACTTTTTTAAGAATTACTTATTGGGGGCTGGTAGGTGGCGTGGTGGTTAAGGTGCTGGACTCCCACATGGCTGACCACGGTTTCTGTCCTGGACCTGGTGGCCTGCTTTCTCACTTTCCCTTTCTCTCTCTCTCTGGTCAAATTAAAAATAATAATAATAAGGGACCAGCAGTTAGCGTAATGGCTATGTCGCTGGACTCCCACGTAGTCGACCGCGGTTCGTGTCCCGGACCCGGTGGCTTAAAACTCATGCCAGGAGCGTGTGAGTGTGTGCCCAAGATCCCGAGAAGAGAATGGAGGAGAAGGGATTGCGGCATGGCCATCCCCCCTGGGGGGTGGTTTCTCGCTTTCTGTCTCTCTGTCTCTCTCTGTCTGTCTGGCGAGCACACACACCATACAGCAAAAATCTCTCCAAAAAATAATAATAATAATAACAAATAAAATAATTCTTTTAAAAAATTTTATTTGTAAAATTCCATTTGTTATTATTATTTGTTTATTTTAATATTAAATTATTAATAATTAAATACTTATTTTAAAATAAGTATTTATTTATTTAATTGATTTTTTTTTTCCCACATGAGTTTTGCCAGAGAAAGACAGAGAGAGGGAGAGGGAGAGCGAGAAAGCAAGCCGACTGCTGGCCCCTCCATGTTTTCTAGAAGGCCTATAGAATATATATTGGGTGCCTCTCCTCTTTCATTTTGGTTAATTACTGGAAAGTGGTGGTTCTGGACAAAAGGAATAGATAATTCTTCAACAAATAAATGAATAGGGGCCAGCAGGTAGCATGGTGGTTAAGGACAGTGGACTCCCATATGGCCAACCACTTTTCAAGTCCCAGACCTGGTGGCTTGCTTTCTTGCTTTTTCTCTCTCTCTGTCTTTCTCTTTCTCTCTCTGTCTTTCTCTCTCTGTCCCTATCTAGTAAAATTAAAAATAAATAAATAAGTAAAGTTAAAATAAAAACAGAACAAAAAATGAATAAATAAGTAAATAAATAAAGGGGCCAGATGGTGTAATGTTTACATTGCTGGACTCCCGCATGGCTGACTGTGGTTCGAGTGCCAGACCCTGTGCCTTGAAACTCACACCAGGCGCGTGTGCAGGCTTGCCCAAGATCCTGGGAGGAGAATGGAGGAGAAGGGGTTGTGGCATGGCCATCTCTCCTGGGGAGTGATTTCTCACTTCCTGTCTCTCTGTTTCTCTGGCGAGGGCATGCACCCTATAGGAAAAACCTTTCTATAAAAAAGAAAAGAGAGAGACTAGCAGGTGGCATGGTGGTTAAGGTGCTGGACTCCCGCATGGCCAACCACGGTTTGAGTCCCAGACCTGATGACTTGTTTTCTCACTTTCCCTCTCTCTCTGTCTCCTTCTCTCTCTCTGGTCAAATTAAAGATAATAGTGATAATAAAAAATAAATAAAATAAATAATTCTTTTAAAAAAAAAGAAAAGAGAGAGAGAGAAAGAATTATTAATTTATTTTAGTATAATTTTTAAAAATTTGACCAGAGAGAGACAGAGGGAACGTGAGAAAGCAAGCTGCCTGGTCTGGGGGTCTGGGACTTGGAGCATGGTCAGCCATGTGGGGGCCCAGTGCCTTAACTACCACACCATCTGCTGCCCTAACAAGAAGGATTTTTTTTTGGGGGGGGGAGGTTTTTGTTATAGGGCCCGTGCGCTCTCCAGAAAGACAGAGAGAGCTTCAATCCCTTCTACTCCATTCTCCTCTCGGGATCTTGGGCACACACAAACATGCACCCGGCGTGAGTTCAAGCCACCGGTCTGAGACTCGAACTGCAGTTGGCTACATAGGTGTCTAGCGACATAACCATTATGCCAACTGCTGGTCTCAAGAATTCTGGATCCTATGGCTAACTATGCAGTTCGAGTCCTGGACTCAGCGCCTTGAAAACACAGTGGGAATGTGCGCATGTGTACCTGAGAGGAGCTTGGAGGAGAAGGGATTGTAGTGTGACCACCCCCAAGGGTATGCTTTCTCACTTTCCCTCTCTGTCTCCCTCTGGTGACCACGCATACCCTCTAGCAAACTAATCAAGCAAACAAAAGATTTGCTAGGTTTTCTTCATATTGATTGGTAACTGTTCTTTATTAAACTCAATATTTGTCTACTGGCAAATTTCTCCCCCAGTTCATTGTTTCATTTTTAATTTTCTGATGTTTTTTGCTATTCAGAATTTTAAAAATTTTTATGTAAGCAAGTATTTATCTTGTCCTTTAAGGTTCCTTGGCTTTACTATTGCCTGATTCCTTCTACACAATTTTCTATCTATATCTATATATTCTATATGTTACACATGTAATGTCAAAGTTTGTAGAAAATGGAATTAAAGGACGAGTTTATTTTAGAGCAAAATTATTTGAAATCCATGCAGTTACTTATAATACTCATTTCCATGAACTTTGTGAGGACTTTTTATATTATAATGATTATATATTATATACCCTATGATTATGTATGTTATAATTATAAATTATGCATATCAACATTCATCTTCTCTTCCAGACTTTTGCAGTTCATCAGGTTTTTTTTTGTTAAGGTTTCTGTCCTAAGACATATGTACTTGTCAGAGAGAGACAGAGCAAAAGTGAGAAATCACCCTCAGAGAGGATGGCCACACCACAGTCCCTCTTGGTACTCCTCTTGGGACTTTGGGCATGTGCACATACGTGCCAAGCACAATTTTAAAGCCATGGGGTCTGGGACCTGAACCATGGTCGGCCATGTGGGAATCTAGCACCTTAACTACCACACCACCTGCTGGCCCCTTGCAGTTTTAATTTTTAAACTTTCTCTCTCTCTCTCCTTTTTTTAAAGAATTTTATTGGACTTTATTATTATTATTATTATTTTACACATACCAGTCATCTCTTATTGGGTGTGAATTCTTGACTGGGATATGAAAGGACTCAACAAGTTCCTTTGGAGGGATGCTAAGCCAAGATGAAGGCCTGGTTCAGTGTATGCCCTCCACGCTGGCCCTCTCAGTGGTATCTGCGTTGCTGCTCCTGGTTGGGTTCCTTATAAGAAAGGCAGTAGCTGGAGAGCACATAAGCGGCCAGCACCATAGAAACCCCAGCAACGCCCTCTTTCTTCACGTTGATGTACTTGCTGTAATACTGGCAGTGACCTCTCAGAGATGCTCTAGCAATGCCTGTAGGGGTAAAATCCCGCATCAGTATCCAGCTTGGCAGCTCCCCAAGTTTGACATCCATGAGTTTCTTCTCCTTCACTGGTACGACTGACGCCATCTTGGAGTCCTGGTGTCCGCTGCACCTGAACTTTGTTATTTACTTATTTAAATTTGACCAGAGAGGGACAGAGTAAGAGAGAGAGAGAGAGAAAGTGAGAAAGCAAGCCACCATGTCCAGGACTTGAACTACGGTCAATCATGTGGGAGTCCAGTGCCCTTAAGTACCACGCCACCTGCTGGTCCCAATTTTTAAACTTTTTAAAAACCACTAGAAGACACATGTGCTTGCCAGGAAGAAACAGTAAGACAGTGAGAGAGAGAGGGAGAAAACACCACTCTATGGCTGTGGTCATGCCTGTCTCTTCTCTGTTTCTCTGTCCCATTGGGGTTTTGGGCTGGCATGCTTTTCTAAGTTCCAGGGCTGGGATTCAAACCATAGATACCCATGTGGAGTTTAGCTCCATTGACCACTAGGCCATGGGGCCAGCCCAGTGTTTTTTTTTTTTTTTTTTTTTTTTTTTTATTTTTAGGGGCCACAACAGATGGCATAATGATTACGTCCCTGGACTCCATGCAGTTGACCACAGTTCAAGTCCTGGACCTGGCAGCTTAAAACTCATGCTGTGCACGTGTGTGTACATGCCCAAAGTCCTGAGAGAAGGATGGAGGAGAAGGGATTGCAGTGTGACCATACCCCTGGGGGGTGATTTCTCGCTTTCTGTCTCTCCGTCTTTTCGGCAAGCACATGTCCCTTGTCGCAAAAATCTCTCTCTCTCAAAAAAAAAAAAAAATGCATGTGCACATGAGAGAGAGGAAGAGAGAGGGAGACAAACACCCTTCACAAGCCTTGGTCGTGCCACAACCTCCTTCTCCAGTCCTCCAACTGTGTCCATCATGTTTTCAGGCCGACCAGACCAGAGACTCAGACCACAGTCAGTGTGTCTCCCCCCTCTGTAGTCTAAGACACCACCAACGGCACCACATAGACTGCATCATTCTCAACAGTTTTGTTTTTTCACATTTTATTGATTCACTAAGTATCTTAATTCATCTAAATACTTTCAATAGCAAGCACAGCTGATATATGCATATTTCTGAACACATGTCTGGCTTTAGACACAAACCTCAGTGAGTAAAATGAAAATTCTATAAAGTAGCATCTTGCTGGGGCTATATAGCTTATTGCAGTCATTAAATATGCATTAAAATACATTTTTAAAAAGTTATATTTTTAAATAATTATTTTTAATTTAAATTTATTTATTCATTTATTTTATTTTTTTAAAGAATTGTTTAATTTATTTATTTATTATTTTTTCACATGAGTTTTGCCAGAGAAAGATGTGAGAGAGAGAGAGAGAGAGCAAGCTGTCAGGTCTGGGATTCAAACCGTGGTCAACCATGCGGGGGAGTCCAGCAACCTAGGAGAAGTTTTTGCTATAGGGTGCGTGCGCTCACCAGAAAGACAGAGAGAGACAGAGAGACAGAAAGAGAGAAACCACCCCCCAGGGGAGATAGCCACGCCACAATCCCTTCTCCATTCTCCTCTCGGGATCTTGGGCACACATGCACACATGCCCTGTGTGAGTTGAAGCCACTGGTCCGGGACTCGAACCGCAGTCGACTACATGGGAGTACAGCGACATAGCCATTACACCAACTGCTGGTCCCCCTAATACATTTTTTAATTTAAGTAAAACAGTTTTAGTTTTAATCAAAATTTTTAAAAAAAGCAAGAGAAATTTGCTTAAGACTTAAAGCCAGGAAAAAGGTTAGGATTCAGTTCGAACAGTAGGTAGGTGAAAATATCAACAGATGAAGAGAAGATTAAAAAAAAAAAAAGCCTTAAATCTAGAAAAAAAAGCATAGGAAAAAAATCAGTATTGTTTTAGTCAAAACTCAAAAAATTCTATTTCACCAGTTCAGTCTTATGTAATTAATCTCTCTTCTATTGAATTTACAGTGTTACTGTGGTCTGATCTTTTTTTTTTTTTTTTTCTTTGAGAGATTTTCACTATAGGGCGCGTGCGCTTGCCAGATAGACAGAGAGAGACATAGAGACAGAAAGTGAGAAATCACCCCCCAGGGGGGATGGTCACACCGCAATCCCATCTCCTCCATTCTCCTCTCGGGATCTTGGGCACACACGCACACGCACCCGGCGTGAGTTTTAAGTCATCGGGTCCGGGACGCGAACCGCAGTTGACTACGTGGGAGTCCAGTGACATAACCATTACGCTAACTGCTGGTTCCTTGATCTGTTTACATTCTGGAAGTTAACATTCAACTCCAGATTTATCCTTACCATTAGTCTGGCCATTTTCTTGGTTGTTTTTTGTACTTTTATTTCTCTGTGTCTGACTTTAGTTTTCCTGGTATAGCACTCCCTTCAGCACTTCTTGGAGAGCCGGTCTGGTGTTGGTAAATTCTTTCAGGTTTTGTTTATCTGAGAATGTTTTTGTCTTTATTTCCCATATGAAGGATAATCTTGCTGGGTGTAGTATTCTTGGTTAATACTGTTTTTCACTTAACACTTTGAATTCTTTCCTTGCTTGCATTGTTTCCGAGGAGAGGTCCAACATTAGCCTGATGAGATATCCTTTGAAAGTAACTTGACGTTTTTCTCCTGCCAATTTTAGTATCTTGTCTCTGTCTGTGGTTTTGGTCAATCTGGTTATGATGTGCCTTAGAGAAGATCTTGGGTTGATTCTATGTGGGGGTCCTTTGTATTTGTTGGGTCAGGATATTTGAGTGCCTCTCTAGGTTTGGAAAGTTTTCTTCCAGGATTCCATGGAATAGATTATCAATGCCCTTATTAGTTTCTTCACCTGCTGGTATACTGATTATCCAGATGTTTGGATATTTAATGGTATCGCACATTATTCGCATATTATTCTCATTTTGGGGGTTATTTTAGTCCTTCTGGTGAATTTTTCTAGGTCAAAAGTAAATTTTTCTAGGTCAGATCTTCTACATCTGAGATTCGATCTTCTCCATGATCGAATCTGCTTTTAATACTTTCAAGGAAAGTTTTGATTTCCTGTATCACAGTCTTCATCTCTAACAATTCCATTTGATTCTTTTTTTATGGTGTGTATTTCATCTTTCAGATCATGCAAGAACTTCCTCACCTCCTGGAACTTATTGTCTCTTTTCCACTGAATTTCCTAGAGTTCATTGTCTCTCTTCTCTTGCATCTCTGTTAGTTTTGTCACTATTAATATTTAAAATTTTTTATCTGACATTTTCACAAGTTCCCTTGTATTTTCTGTGGAAGATGAGGAGTTATTCTTGGGGACCAGCAGTTAGCGTAATGACTATGTTGCTGGACTCCCATGTAGTCGACCGCGGTTGGAGTCCCGGACCCGGTGGCTTAGACTCACGCCGGGCGTGTGTGCGTGCGTGCCCAAGATCCCAAGAGGAGAACCGGGGAGAAGGGTTTGCGGCGTGGCCATCCCCCCTGGGGGGTGATTTCTCACTTTCTGTCTCTCTCTCTGTGTCTGTCTGGCAAGCACACACGCCCTATAGCGAAAACCTCTCCAAAAAAAAAAAAAAGAGTTATTCTTTTCCCTTAGGGGAGAGATATTTTCTTGGTTTCTCATATTTCTTGTGCTCTGCGGTGATTTCTGGTCATCTGATGGATTACATGTTTTTTCCTAGTTTCTGGACTTAAATCTGAGCATTCAGAGGCAGGCAGGCACGTAGGAGGAAGTGATCTGCAGTCTCTAAGCAGTACCGTTCTTTTCCATTTGTGCCAGCAGCTTCCATAGAAGTTGAGGATTAATATGACCCAAGAAGTATTCAGATATTTGGCTACTATACACCTAGATCTGTCTAGAAACTCAGTGTGTGGAGGCTGAGCAGAAAAGGAAAAGGAAAACAAAACAAAACAAAAAGAGAGAGAGAGAGAGAGACAAAAATAAGACAAAAACAATCAAAAAAGAGAAATAAAAAAATTTTTGGAGAAGTTTTTGCTATAGGGTGCATGTGACCACCAGAAAGACAGAGAAAGACAGAGAGACGGAAAGTGAGAAATCACCCCCCGTGGGGATGGCCATGCCGCAATCCCTTCTCCTCCATTCTCCTTGAGATCCTGGGCATGCACGCACACACGCCTTGTGTGAGTTTAAGCCACTGGGTCTGGGACTCGAACCACAGTCTACATAGGAGTCCAGTGACATAGCCATTATGCCATCTGCTGGTCCTCCCCCCAGAATTTTTAAAGCAAAAAAATGTGTGTGCCATGAGAAAAGGGCCACTAAGAACTCAAAATAGATGGCTGGTGATTGGCTTGTCCTATGTGTGTGTGAGTATGTGTCAGGGGGAGGTAAGAATGTACAAAATAGGGACCAGCAGTTGGCTTAATGGCTACGTTGCTGGACTCCCATGTAGTCGACCATAGTTCGAGTCCCAGACTGGCGGCTTGGACTCACACTGGGCGCGTGTGCGTGCGTGCCCAAGATCCCAAGCGGAGAATGGAGAAGAAGGGATTGCGGTGTGGCCATCCCCCCTGGGGAGGGGATTTCTCACTTTCTGTCTCTCTGTCTCTCTCTGTCTTTCTGGCAAGCGCACGTGCCCTGTAGCAAAAACCTCTAAAATAAATAAATAAAAGTTATTTATTTATTTATTTGATTTTAATTTGACCAGAAAGGGACAGAGAGAGAATGAGAAAGCAAACCACCAGGTCTGAGACTTGAACCACGGTCAGCCATGTTCGAGTCCAGCGCCCTTAACCACCATGCCACCTGCCAGCCCCTAGAAGTTTTAATAAAACATTTTTTTCCTGCCTTCCATTTCCTGGAGTGCCTCCTTGGATGTGTGAACCCTGTCTAGAGGCACTGCTCTGTGGCCCACGCTGTGCTTCTTTCCCCATTTCTCTTTTGTGAAATCAAATTGCTTTTTTTTTTCCTTTCAGGTTCTTGCCATAGGATATGTGCACTCCCTGGAGAGGACAGAGAACCACAGAGAGAGGGAAAGTGAGAAATCATGCCCCTGGGGGGAATGGCCATACCACAATCCCTTCTCCATTCTCCTCCTGGGATTTTGGGCACACACACACACATGTACATGCAGCTGGGGTGATTTTCAAGCTGTCAGGTTTGAGACTTGAACCACGGTTGCTCATGTGGGAGTCCAGCGCATTGACCACTAAGCCACCTGCTGGCCTTCAGACTGCTTCTTAAATTGTTTCTGCTAGGGATTTCTTTCTAGTCTGTTGAAAGTTCTGGATTCTGATCACAGAAGTACTGACAGGGCTGGGGGCTCAGCAGGTGGCATGGTGGTTAAGGTCCTGGGTTCCCACATGATTGACTGTGGTTCAAGTCCCAGACCTGAAGGCTTGCTTTCTCACTTTGTCTGTCTCTGTTGAGCGCATGTGCTCTGGAGCAAATTAAAAAACAAAAACAGTAATGATAAATATAATTAAATAAATACCTAAAAAAAAATAAAGGACAGCACAGATATAGCTGGTAGCCTCTGACCTCAAAGGCCCCTGAGGACCCCAGGGCTGGAGGTCTCTTTGTCATCTGATGAGTTCAGGAAAGATAACCACAGGGCAGGAGTTGGGGAAAAAGGGCCTGGGGACTGGCCAGGGCATGTGTGGGTGGCTGAGCCCATGTGGCATGTGTAAGAGTTAACGCAAACAGGACCTGTGCACACAGAGGCGTGTGTGTGTCTGCCACAGCTCTGCGGTGTGCCAAGTGATTCCCAGTGTTGGCTGGTGGCGAGCTCACGTGGTCACCTGTCCTGCAGATTTTCAGGCACATCCTGCAGCGGGAGTTCTCAGGGTCATGCCGGTCCCTCTCCCGAAAGTTCACCGAGTGGTGCTACGGGCCGGTCCGCGTGTCGCTGTACGACCTGGCCTCCGTGGACAGCTGGGAGGAGAACTCAGTGCTGGAGATCATCGCTTTTCACTGCAGGAGCCCGGTGAGCCTGCGGGGCGCCGGCGTGCACAGAGAGAGGCCTGGCGGAACTCCCAGCAGGCCCACAAAGCAGGGCTGCCTGCGGGGCACACCTGCCCTCTCCGTGTTGGTGGGGATGCAGCTGCACCAGGCGGGACCCTCACCCCAGTCCCAGCCCCACCATGCTCACTCATTCCACGCTGCAGTCCCCCAAACCCGGGGGGTGGCACCAGGGGCCCGTGGCAACCCGAGAGCCTCTCTGTTGATCCGCACCAGATCTGGAACGGAGGGCGAGGTCCCAGTCCATAGCCAGGAGGACTGGGGTGGGACAGGTGGGGAGGGGCCATCGGGGTCAAAGGGGTGTGGGAACCTGCTGCTTCCCCTCCATTTCCCTCTGCCCTTGCGCAGAGCCCGACCTGAGGAGGGCGCCCTGTGTATACTGGGCCCCGTGAACCCGATTCCCCTGCTCCCACCCCAGCACCGGCACCGAATGGTGGTTTTGGAGCCCCTGAACAAACTGCTGCAGGCGAAATGGGACCTGCTGATCTCCCGCTTCTTCCTCAACTTCCTGTGTTACCTGGCCTACATGCTCGTCTTCACCGCGGTGGCCTACCACCAGCCGGCCCTGGAGAAGGCAAGAGCAGGAGGGGGCCCTTCCTGGGAGGCCTGCTGGAAAGCACCCTGGAGGAAGATGGATCCGTCCTGGGAAGGGTGCCAGGAGGCCCAGGCTGCTCGTGGTTCCCTGGTTCTGTGAAGCCAGCATTTCCCAAGCCCTCACCACGTGTAGAAAGTACCCCCTGGGACCTCAGGGCAGTACTCTGGGATGCTCGACTAGCATCATCCTGTTTACAGCTGAGGGAGAGAGGCACAGAGAGGTTAAGTCACATATGCAGGGTCACACAGCCAGTAAGTGGTGGAGACAGGACCTGAACCCAGGCAGTCTGGCTTGTGATCACTTCACAATGTGCTTTTCAAGAAATTGGGATCTGCAGATCCTTTGCCCTACAGCGGGTGACACCCTGAGCCTCACAGCTCAGGTTCAGCTTTGTCTCTGGGAGGGTGAGCCATTAGGGAGAGGACTCAGGACCTGGGTCTTATCCGGGGCTGTCTCCAGCAGGCCTTCCTGTCCCTGAAAGCCACCCCTGGGAACTCCATGCTGCTGCTGGGCCACATCCTGATCCTGCTTGGGGGGGTCTACCTCCTCCTGGGCCAGGTGAGAGTTCCCCTATCTCCCTACCCACAGTGGCTCCCGTGGACGCTGTAGAACAGGGGCAGACCAACCGGCCGGGCTCACAGGGGCTGAGGGCTTGGGTTCTGGCCTTGCCTTCTGGAGGCCCGGGTACTCCCCTGCAGTGCTTTCTGGGGTTCTCTGATTCCTTGGTAGGGAATCAAGCCAGGAATCAAGCTGGAAGTCCCTGCCCCTGGGTACCTCCTTAGGGCATCTCTCACTTGGGGAGCACAGAGGCCTGGCCAGCAGGAGGCGCTGCAGGAGGCAGGCTGCAGACATTGGGACGTCTCCAAGCAAGCAGAATGTGGGCGCTGTGCCTGGGTGGGCTGGAGAACAGGGTGCTCCCCGCTCACTGTGCAGCACGTGGGCCCTTCATCTGGAACCATGGAGCACCAGGCGAGCCCTGCACTGTCTGTGTCTGTGGGAGGCTGCCTTTTTTTTTTTTTTTTTTGAGAGAGCCCAGAGCTTTCTCTGCTGATGGAAGGATTCCTGATCTGCCCCTTAAAGTCAAAACTGCTGCTTTAGCCCTGAGGGGATCCTGGCCAGGATCCCACAGGCCAGGCCAGTGGGTGGGAGTGTGCAGGGGTGCGGGAAGGCGGGTCCAGGCTCTGAGGGGCTGCTGGGCTGCCCTTGGGCTTGGAGAGCAAGTTCCACACCCCGGTTCTGTTCTCCCCCTTCCTCCGCAGCTGTGGTACTTCTGGCGCCGCCGCCTGTTCATCTGGATCTCGTTCATGGACAGCTACTTTGAAATCCTCTTGTACGTGGGGTCTCGCTCTACCTCCCCCGCCCGTCTCTGAGGCCTGGGGGAGGGTGGTGTGGCGGAGGGCACCAGGCTGGGTTTAGGGCCCAGGGAGTTCCAGGGAATTAGGACCTGGGCATCGGGGTTGCGTTCGTTCCATCCTTGTAGACCTTGGTGGTGATAGTGACAGGGAGCCCTCGGGACAGCCCCAGCAGCTCAGACTCTTTCCATGTGGTGTGTCGCTTCGTCCTTGAAAGGGCTCTACAAGTCAGGTGTTGTTACTGTTTGGGTTCTTTTCTTTTAAAGAATTACTCTATTTATTTATTTTAATTTGACCAGAGAGGGACAGAGTGAAAGAGAGACAGTAAGGGAAAGTGAGAAAGCTGTCAGGGCCCAACTCGAACCACAGTCGGCCATGTGGGCGTCCAGCGCCCTTAACCACCACGCCACCTGCCGGCCATTTTTTCTTTTCTTTTTTAAGGAGGGAAGTGAGGGACTGAGAGAGAGCTATTTTTTAAAAAAAGAATTATTTCATTTTATTTATTATTACTATATATTTTTAAAATTTTCTATAGAGCATGTGCACTCACCAAAGAGAGAGAAGGAGAATGAGAAAGTAAGCCACCAGGCTTGGGATTTTAACCATGGTCAGCCATGGGGGAGTCCAGCGCCTTACCCACCACACCACCTCCTGACCCAGTAGAGCTATTATGGACAGAATTTCACTATCACAGTCGTTCTGTCCAACCTTCCCAGTGAGCCAGGCTCACTGGCACCTGTGACAGGGCCCCATGTGTTTAGGTTGGCCAGGGACTGAACCTGGAGCTTCCGTGTGGCCTCCAGCTCCCAAGCATGGCGGTAACTGTGTGCCACCTGCCTGGACCAGGTGTCGTTACTATTCTGGCCACTTTACAGGGGAGGGGACTGAGGCCTACAGAGATGAAATAACTTGCCCAAGACGGAGACCAGGCCCTGACAGGGTCCTGTTCCAGACAGACGGAGGACAATCCTCAGGCTGCTGTGGGAGAGGCAGCGGTGGTCAGTGCTGGCCCGTGGGAGATGGGGTCGTTGCTGAGCGGGCTGGAAGCTGACCCAGACTCTGTGCCCACAGCCTGGCCCAGGCCCTGCTCACGGTGCTGTCCCAGGTGCTGTGTTTCCTGACTATCGAGTGGTACCTGCCCCTGCTGGTGTCCTCGCTGGTGCTGGGCTGGCTGAACCTGCTCTACTACACGCGCGGCTTCCAGCACACGGGCATCTACAGCGTCATGATCCAGAAGGTGAGGGGCGGGCAGCTCTGAGGACTGCTGGTGACCTCAGCAGGCAGGAGGCGTCCCTCACAGCTGTCGGGCAGAGGACAGCGTGAGCGTCTGCCTGGGTGTTGCTGAGTGTGGGCGCAAGTGTGGGTGTAGGCGTGCTTGGAGTCTGCACGCATGTGCAAACACACGCACATATGCATGTGCAGCACGTGTTTCATCTACACCCAGGGAGCGCTCGGTGTCTGCACCGGGATGTGCGGGTGTATGCAGGTGTCTGCGTTCCTTTACTCATTCATGAACGTTCAGGGGCTGCCTCTTCATGGCCAGACCCTGTCTTTTTTTTTTTTTTTTTTTTTTTTTTTTTTCATTGCTAGAGGGCACACGTGCTTGCCAGAGAGAAAGAGAGAAAGCGCCCCGCCGAGGAGGCTTACCATGCCTCAATCCCTTTTCCATTTCTCTCTTCAAGATTTTGGGCACACATGCATGGATTTTTTTTTGTTTGTTTGTTTTTCTTTCGTTTTGCTGTAGAGCATGCACTCACTAGAGAGAGAGAGACAGAGAGAGCTAGAGAGGGAGAGTGAAAGTGAGAAATCGCTCCCCACCCCAGCAGGGAGATGGCCACGCTACAATCCCCTCTCCACCATTCTCCTCCTGGGACTTTGAGCACACACGCACACACACCCAGCATGCTTCCTAAGCTGCCACATCTGGGATTTGAACTGCAGAGTCAACTATGTGGAATCCAGCACCTTAACCATCACACTGCCTGCTGGCCCATGTGCCTGGTGTATTTTTTAAGCCTCTGAGATCCAAACTGTGCAGTCAGCATGTAGGATCCAGCTGCCTTAACCACGATGCCACCAGCTGGCCCAGAGCCTGCTCTAGGTGTTGGGGATGCAGCAGTGAACGGCAGTCATTTCCTTACCCTCCTGAAGCTGGCTTTCTAATGGAGAAAATGAAAACACTAAGAAAACCACAGAGAGCCTTGCAGACTGCTCAGTTCTTTGAAGGGAACACAGAGGGCCATGTGAGGGAGAAGGACTAGGCGGACGGTGCTCAGAAGGGACGTCGTGCAGAGGGACTGGTCAGGACCTGAAAGACTCGGTCAGCCACCATCAAGCTGAGGAGGGACCAGGAAAGGCAAAGGCTAAGGGGCCAGACAAGCTTGGAGACCCTGGGACGGAGCTGGGAGGCTGGGGTGCCTGGGAGAGTTAGGGAGGGTGGAGGAGAGGAAGCTAGGAGGAAGTTCGGTCCAGGGGCTTTGCCCATAGGGAGGGACTTGCAGGCTCCCCCAGAGGTATTTATTATTATTATTATTCTTTAAATTAAATTAATTTATTTAAATTTGACCAGAAAATGAGAGAGAGGGAAAATGAGAAAGCAAGCCACCAGGTCACGTGGCTCCCACAGTCAGCCGGGTGGGAATTCAGCACCTTCACCCCCATGCCACTTGCTAACCCCATTTTTTATTATTACTGTGATTTAATTTGCTATAGGGCACATGCGCTCATCAGAGAGAGACAAACAGAAAAAGAGGAAAAGCCATAGTTTACTATATGGGATTCTAGCACCTTAACCACCCATGCCACCTGCTGGCCCTTCCCCAAAGGTTTATTTATTTTTTAAATTGCACTAATAGGCCAGCAGGTGGCATGGTGGTTAAGGTGCTGGACTTCCACATGGTCAACCATGGTTCGAGTCCCAGACCTAGTGGCTTGAAATTCACACTGGAGGGGCTGGCAGTGATAAAGGTGCTGGACTCCCACATGGCTGACTGCGGTTCAAGTCTTGGCCTTGGTGGCTTTCTTTCTCACTTTCCCTCTCTCTCTTTCTCTGTCTCTCTCTGGTCAAACTGGAAAATAATACTAATAAAGTTAAATAAAATAATAGTTTTTTTTTTTTTTAAAGAAATTCACACTGGGCACGTGTGTGTGTGTGTCCAGAATCCCAGGAGGAGAATAGAAGAGAAGGGATTGCAGCGTGGCCATCTCCCCTGGGGAGTGATTTCTCAAATTCCCTCTCCCTGTCTCTCTCCTGTGAGCACATGCATTTTTGCCTATGGTAAAATATTAGACAGAATTTGCCACTTCAAGCATTCGTTGTTGTTTTAATTTTGCTATAATGCTTATTTCACTCAGCATGATGTCCTCCAGGTTCATCCGTGGGGTAGCCTGTGTCATCGCATGTGTAGGCCACGTTACCCGTTCATCCCTTGATGGACACTCGGGTTGCTCCCACTTTTTGGCTATTGTGAGTAATGCTGCTGTGAACCTGGGGGAACCAAGATCTGTCTGGCTCCCTGCTTAAATTCTTCTCGGTGTATGTACACCCGGCAGTGGGCTTTGTAGATCATATAGTAACCCTATGTTTACTTTTTTGTCCACGGAGGGTTTCCCCCGCTAATTTGATAGAGGGCCCATGCTTGCTGGAGAGAGAGACAGAAAGAGGGGAAGTGAGACACCACCCTCCCGCCGATGGGAAATGATCATACCACAATCCCTTCTCCTCCATTTCTTCCTGCTTTTCAGGATTTGAGGCATGTATGCACATGTGCCCAGCTGTTTTTCAAGCCACTGGGCCCAGGAGTTAAACTTTATAGTCATCCATGAGGGATCCAACTGCCTTAACCACCATGCAACCAGCTGGCCCAGATTCTGGGGAGGTTTTTGTTTATTTGTTTTAATATTTATTTTTAAATTCCATTTGTTTTTATCATTAAAAAAAAAATTGACCAGACAGAGACAGAGAGAAAGGGAAAGTAAGAAAGCCAGCTGCCAGGTTGGGACTTGAACTGTGGTTGGCCATGTGGGAATCCAGCGCCTCTAACCACCATGCCACCTGCCAGCCCCTGGTCTTGGGGAGTTTTAAGCAGGAAAATGATATGATCTGAGGTTAATTTTTAATTAATCAATTAATTTTTAAAGAGTTGTTATAATGGGACCAGCAGTTGGCGTAATGGCTATGTTGCTGGATTCTCATGTAGTCTACAGTGGTTCAAGTCCTGGACCTGGTGGCTTAAACTCACGCTGGGCGTGTGTGCGTGTGTGCCCAAGATCCTGAGAGGAGAATGGAGAAAAATGGATTGTGGTGTGGCCATCCCCCCTGGGGGGTGATTCTCACTTTCTGTCTCTTTCTTTCTGGTGAGCGCACGCCCCCTATAGCAAAAACCTCTCAAAAAAAAAAAATTAAAAATTGTTTTATTTGGAGACCAGCAGATGGTGTAATGGCTACGTCACTGGACTCCCATGTAGTTGACTGCAGTTCAAGTTCTGGACCTGGTAGCTTAAACTCACACGGGGCGTGTGTGCATGCGTGCCCAAGATCCCGAGAGGAGAAGGGATTGCGGCGTCCTGGGAGATGTCTTGGTTTCTGTCTCTCTGCCTCTCTGTCTCTCTGGCGAGCGCCACCCCCATAGCAAATAAAAAAATAAAATAAAATAAAATAAAACAAAAAACCCTCTCAAAAAAAAAAGAATTGTTTTATTTAACTTCATTTATTATTATTATTATTAATCTGACCAAAGAAAGACAAAGAGAAAGAAAAAGAAAAGGTGAGAAAGCAAGCTGCCAGGTCCAAGACTCACCGGCTAGCCACATCGGAGTCCAGCGTCTTTAACCACCATGCCACCTGCCAGCCCCAATTAATTTACTTTTTAAACTTAATTATTTTTTAGAGGATTTTACCTTAGGGTGCATGCTCACTGGAGAGAGACGGAGAAATAGACAGTGAGAGGGAAAATGAGAAATCACCCCCAGGGCGGATAACACACCATTCTCTTCCCTTCCATTATCCTTCCCGGATCTTGAGCACGCACACAGGGCGCCCAGGCAGGATTTTCAAGCTATGGGGTCCAGGGACTCAAACCTCAGTCGGCCATGTGGGAGTCCAGTGACTCATCTGCTGGCCCTATGAGGTAGATTACTTTTTAAAGAGAGATTTTTGCTGTGGGGCACGTGTGCTTGCCAGGGAAACAGAGACTGAGAGACAAAAAGTGAAAAATCACCCCCCCCCCAGGGGTGATAGCCACACAGAAATCCCTTCGCCTCCAATCTCCTCTCGGGATTTTGGGCATGCACACACAGGGAATCAAACATGCTCGCGTGTGTGGGCGTGTGTGAGCGTGTGGTGCCCCTGGGGATCTGGGCTTGTGCCAGTGGCCCAGCCACCCACCGGCTCCTGGGCACTGTGTTCCAGGTGATCCTGCGAGACCTGCTCCGCTTCCTTCTGGTCTACTTAGTTTTCCTGTTCGGCTTCGCTGTAGGTAAACAGCCCCTCTGGTCCCAGCTGGCGCCACCGGGCCCCTCCCCGACTCCCGCCTGCCCCCTGCCCCCTGCCCCCTCCAGGCTGCGGGCTGCTGTCCTCCAGCTGAGGACCCGTCTTCCTCCCTCCACAGCCCTGGTGAGCCTGAGTCGGGAAGCCCGGGGGCCCACGGCCCCCACGACCCCTACGGCCCCTACAGTCGCCAACACCACGGCGGCGGCGGGGGGCCC